CACTCCTCTTTTTGCAGGCATTGAATATAGAATCCCCACTATCAAAATACGTGCAGTTGCTCTGCAAAATACCAAACACGAATGAATGAATAAAGCATATAACAACAGTGCCTTTCATGCATATAAAATCATTTATTATGTAGTGGTGGCCCAGCTGCATATTCAAGTCATTGGGGGTACTTTGAGAAAAAAATGTCTGGCTCCACCTCCAGATAATCTGATTCAATACGTTTTGGATAGAACTGTTTTAAAAATTCTGCTCAAATGATTCTCATAGATTACCAGTGTTTGCAGCTGGTATGTGGTAGAACATTGGTTGATTTATAATAGCTCCTTTTTTGGTTTGCTTTGTTTTGGGGCGACAGCTGGCACTCCTCAGGGCTTGCCCCTGCACTCAGGAATCATTCCAGGCAATGCTTGAGGGACCCTACTCCCATATGCTGGGGATTGAACCCAGGTTGGCTGCAAGAAAGGCAACCTTACCCACTGGACCCACCTTACCCACTGTGGGTTCTCTCCTGTTCCATGTAATAGCTCCTTTAATAGGCTGGAGGGGTAAAGTTTTTGTTTTATTGTTTTAAATTTCTTTGGAGAGTGACTGATTTTCTCAATAGCACATACAGAGCTCCTTCAGGTTGGTGGGCTTTGATCCACTGCAGAATGCTTTCTTCATCTGATTGACAGGAGACATGTGACTAAGAGACAAGACAATTGTAGGTCTGCTGAGGCACTTGAAATGGGCAGGAAGGACATGATCATTTTAATAGAAAACTACAAGTTGCTAGCATCCCAGAACGATTAGTTTGTGTAAAGCTTTCAAAGTGGGAATGTCATAACAGGTTCTTTTTCAGAATCAGGTCTGCTAATTCCTGCCTATCAGTAGTTCCTTCTGGAGAGACTTGTAAAGGCTGCCTGGGGATGAAAGCCATGACTGATTCTTTATAGCTATTGTAGGTGAGGGAATAAGGAGCATACATATATGCTGTCTTTGATAGATCTCAGGGAAAAATTTGCTTTGTTGAAAATTAGAGCTTAATGTGTATTTTCAAAACCCTGTGCTTGTTAAAAGGATCTGGTTGCAACTAGTTTGGTGTCTTTACACTAAAGGCGTATATAATGAACAAGTATTAAATTTCACAGTTAAGCATATGCAGACATTGCCAGTTGTTTTGGTAATCCTAAATATCTAAATTTTGCAAATTAAAAAAAAGCCCGCAAATTAAAAAAAGATATTGTTGAGATTGTATAGGGAAGAATTGCATCTTAATTATATTAAATCTACCAATACATGGACATGATCTCTCTCTCTATTAGATCTTAATCTCTTCACACAATGTTTTTAGGTCTTGCTAGATTTTTTTTTTAACATAGCATTTTGTGTGCTATTGTAAATGGCAATCCTATAGGATTTTAACTTGTAAATGCTTATGTAAAAATGAAGTTTTCATATTGATCTTGTGCCCACTTCGCAAAGCTTATTTATTCTAGGTGCATTCAAAATAGTCTTTTGAAATTTATTGGGTCAGTGTGAATTACAAAGTTATTCATTATGTTGGGTTGATAGTACAGCAGAGAGGGCATTTGCCTTGCAGTTGGCCCACCCAGGTTCTATCCTTGTCATCCCTTATGGTCCCCAAAGCACCCCTAGGAGTAATTCCTGAGTGCAGAGCCAGGAGTTACCCCTGAGTTATCACTGGGTGTGGCCCCAAAACCAAACTAAACAAAATTAAAGTTATTTATGATTGAATTTCAGGCATACAGTGTTCAAGCATGATTTCCTTCCCCGTGTCTACTTCCATGTCTCCAGTTTGCTTCCGCCTTCAGAGTCTGCCTCTATGGCAGGCACTTTTTCCTTTTAGGTTTTGTGTTTTGCTGAAAGGGAATCATGCATGCCTTCGTTTGGTACCAGTTCTTGACAAGAGTGACCACTTTCCCCATCATTGTCACAGTGGTCCTATCCTAAGCCCCTTACCCCGCTATGGCATGTTTCTTACTAACGACCAATTCTCTAGCCCTTCATTTCTATTGTCTTTGAACATTAATCTCCTATTGTGTTTCTTTATTTCTTGCAAATAAGTTAGATCATTCTGTGCCCTTCCTCTGACTCATTTCACTTAGCATGATACTCTTCAGGCCCATCCACATAGGAGCAGATTTCACGATTTCATCTTTTCTAGTAACTGTAGGATTCCATTGTGCATATGTATTACAGCTTCTTAACCCAGTCATCTGTTCTGGGGCGCTTGGGTTATTTCCAGAATATGGCTATTGTGAATAGTGCTGCATGATCATAGTAGCGCAGATGTCTTTCCTGCATTGTGTTTTTGTGCCCTTGAGATATATTCCAAGGAGCGAAATTGCTGGGTCATATGGAATCTCAATTGCTATTTTTTTGAGGATGGTCCATATTGTTTCCCAAAGAGGCTGGACCATTCGACCTCCCCACGAGCAGTTTCACCTCTTTAGTTAAGAAGATTCCTAGGTACTTGATGTTCGGAGGCCAAGTTGTGGATGGGATTGTATTTTTGATATCGTTCTTCTATTTTATCTTTTGCATATAAAATAGATGTATGTAAACTATTTATATTACACTTATCCACATAGAAAATCATGTCATTACTAACAAGTCAGTTTTACTTCCTCCTTTCCCAATTGGATGCTTTTTATGCTATTTTCTTATTAAAATGACAATGTTAAGCAGAAATGTTGTTTTAGATATATCCTTGTCCTGTTGCTGAAGTTAACAAGAAAGTAGTTAGTTTTATTAAGCATGTAAGATTTTGCTGTAAAATTTACATGGATGTTTATCTAGCTGAAGAAGTCTTATTCTCTTTCTCTTTGAGGTTTTTAGAAAAAATAAGGAATATGGAAAAAATTAGAAGTAAGGAATCATAGAGGTATTCTTATCCCCCTCCCCCCGCTGCTTTGATATCATTATTCTTCATTTTTAATATATAATGTTTTAAAAAATGTTTCATACATTTTATGTGTTTTTTAGATTTCAGATATGAAGATAATTCTTTTCCCTCCATCTTGTTCAGAAGTGGAAGTTCCTAAAGATAAAAGTCTATTCCATAGTTTAACATTGTTTTATTTATTTTAAGTGCTATATTACCAATATCTTTCCATGGTTATTTCATTATTACTAGATATGTCTTGTCTTTAATATAGGCCTTCGGACAGAAAAATGTAAAATATGAAGCACACAGATTAATGATTTTAAATAGGTATACCTCCTGGGTAACTCCATTCAGCAAATTGCCTTCATCCCAGAAAGTTTTCTCATGCCCTTTCAGCCAGCCAGTTAGTCTCGAGAGGTAACTCTTATTTACCCTGAAACACAGAGCTGTCAGCTCACTCAGCCCTGTGCTGTGAAGGAAATCATTCACTGTGTGCTCTGGAGTCTGACTTCTTCGCTCAGCGTGACGATGCGTTTGATGTTCACCCTTATCATTACCAGTAGCTCGCTCTCTGTACCCCTTAACAGTATTCCATTGTATGAATGCCATGGGTCGGTCACTCGGTCTTCTGATGGAGGGTTCTTTCCTGTTTGGAATGCTCTGCATGAGGTGGTTGTGACTATCGTTATACAAGTCCTTCGTGGACTTTATCTTTAGGGATGTAAATGCTGATTTTATGTGCATGTGTATGCATGTATTTCATATATATGTTTGGTCATAGACAAAATATAAGAAATTGTCAAACCATTTTTCAGTGTAGTTTTACCATTTCCTGGTAGAGCCTGGCAAGCTCCCCATGGCATATTTGATATGCCAAAAACAGTGACAATAATGGGTCTCATTTCTATAACTCTGAAAGAGCGTTCAATACAACACCGTTGGGAAGGAAGAGTAAGGAGAGGCTGCTAAAATCTCAGGGCTGGGATGAATGGAGACATTACTGGTGCCCGCTCAATCCATGATGGGATGACAATGATACAGTGACAGTTTTACCATTTGTTTCACATTCTTGGTAACATTTCACCTTCTGAATTTAACTCTTTTGTTGGTATGTTATGGGCTCACTGAATCTATATGGGTATGTTATAGAAATCTGTTATTCACTGTCACATATTTGCAAATAGGTATATTGATGGGATATTTATTTCCTTTCTAAGGCAATCTGAAATTTTACAAGATTGTCACATATGATTGAGTCTTAACTCTACAAACATTAGTCGGGTAGATGAATGGCTCATTTCCGAGTTATAATGTGTATAGGAACGTAAAGTAAAGGCCCTCCCGTTGATCATCGATTTGCTTGAGCGGGCCCAGTAACGTCTCCATTGGAGACTTTGTTGTTACTGTGTTTGGCATATCGAATACGTCACGGGGAGCTTGCCAGGCTCTGCCGTGCGGGCGAGATACTCTCGGTAGCTTGCCGGGGTCTCCGAGAGGGGCGGAGGAATCGAACTCGGGTTGGCCATGTTGGCTGCGTGCAAGGCAAACGCCCTACCGCTGTGCTATCGCTCTGGCCTAATGTGTATAATTTGATGCTATTCCAGACTTAAGGACCATACATCTTATCCTGGGGTCTACAGTGAACTACCCCTCTGTTCAGAGTACTCATGGCTCAGGGGACTGAGGAGCCAGGAGCATCAGAATTACAGTAATTCTGTTCACTTAGTCATTTCGTTCAGAGGAAAAGCACTAGGCTCCTGGGAGTGGTGGGGGTACTTTGGTCATGGACAGAAGTGGTGCCTATTGGTTTCCAATCTGGAATGAATCCATCATCCTGTGAGGCTTCTGCTGCTGCCACCCTGGCCATGTGACCCTGGGCCTGTCTCAGCTCCCGTGTAGGCTGTGGCATGGAGAACACCAGAAGGGTGCCCTGAACTCTTCTGCAATCCCAGTGCACCTGGCTTCTCCTAGGTTTGTGTGACCTACTTCCTATTGTAGGTCTTCACAACTCTGCTTGGTTTCTTATCTCTTGAAAGAGAAAAGGGAGAAACAACTACTGAATTAAAGTGCTAATGATTTTTTTTATTTTATGTTTTTCAGTCAGAAGAATTTACTTCAAGTGTGCACAGCTTTAAGAATAAGACTTTTAAAAAATCCAAAGTTTGTGGGATTTGCAAGCAAATTATTGATGGTCAAGGGATTTCATGTCCAGGTGAGTCCATTTTGATCATTTCTTACCTCATTGAAGTAGAAGCAAGCAAGCTAACAAACAGAAACCAAAATTAAAAAAATCACGGAATTCCCCTCCTCAGGCTGTGTTTATCCCTTACTGGGCTCACTGGGCAGACACGACTGTATTTACACAGAATGTGACCCTGAGGAATTTGTTCCAGAAAGAGCAGTTACTCAATTACACGGGAGAGCAAGTGCCAGTTTATGACTTACCTCGTTGTCGGCACTGTGGTGAACACAGGTGGTTCACTCTTTCGTTCTGACCTCTTTCCAGTTTGCAGGAGAGAATTCTTTACCTCTTTCACAATTAGTGCTCGAAGTGTTCATGCCCCTACGTCTCTAGTTGGGCACCACCTCTGCTAGTAACCAGTCAAAAGCTTCACTGTTTGATTCCTGAACTCCTGGTAATTTATGCATCGTCACCTGTTAGAACTCTCCCTTGTCAGGCTGCTGTGATGGTTACTCTTTCTGATGCATGGGCCATTCTCATGGGGTTAGATCCATGCCCTGAACTGGCTGCTCCACACATAAGCAGGTCATGGGTATTGGCCACGATGGCTTAGCTGTCATCCAGTGGAAGGACTGCTTGGACGACAGCTTTGTCCCCAAGGCTGACAAAGGGTCGCGATGCATAATAATTTTGTTGGAAGAGTCATCTTTCCTTGTCTTCTCTATAAGTGAAGCTTGACTTGACTGCTTCTTTCAGTTTCTTCCGATCACTCACTAGTCTAGTTTCCATCGAAAATCCTTTCACAGATCCTACCCAGTTCATGCGTAGATGAGCTAATGGATGGCCGGGACAGGAGCCTGTGGCACTAAGTTGGTGTTGAGAATTGTGAGGTACGGGGGGGATTTGGCCCCAAGGTCAAAGATTCAGAGTCAGATCAGGTGTCAGAAGAAATGGGAGATGTGTCAGAAGAAATGACTGGAAAGGAAATGATCGAAACAGCGTCATAGAATGTGCAAAGGTGAAACTGTAAGAGAGAAGACAAGGGAAATCAGAGCTGAGAAAAGGAACAAAAGGTGGCAAGATAGAAAATGGAATGGAGGATTTTTTTTCGGTAAGAAATATTTGACAACGGTTTTATTGATTCAGTTACCCAAATGCAAGGTAAGCGCTAGTTGGAAGAAAAAGATGTGCGAGATGAATCCTGTTTCTGCAGCATTACAGGCTTTCCTGTGAGAACTCTGAGTTGTGGGTACTGACTGGCCACTCCTGTGCTGGAGGGAAGCACTCTGTCTTTCTGACCATCACACTCCACAAGTTGAAGATTTAGAGTAGATGGGCCTGTCAGATCTTATGTTTTCTAGTGCTTCATGCCTCGTGCTCTGTGTGAACCCCAGGAAGTACGGGACACAAAGCAGTGAGTATGGCTTTGGGAAGACCTCTGCTTGACCTCTGGCTCCTGTATTGGGTCGCTGGTTAATAGGGATATGTAGGGGCGGGCGCTCTGAGGAAAGAGTAGGGAGAAGCGGACGAGATCCTTGGAGCCCATCTCTGACTTGGTAGTGAGTGTAGAACGTTAAAGAAAAGGTTCCATCTGACAAGCAAGAAAATGGTGACCTGAATTCTGAGACTCCCGGAGACTTTTGGAAGAATAGCAGTTCTCTGACTACTCTATAATGTCCGGGTTTCAGAGCCAGACACTAGGTAATTTCTTCTGTGGCAGGAAAGTTCTTAGCATTGATTTTGGAAATCCCCTAGTGACAAGAAGAGCTGATGTAAGGAATGCAGATGCTCACGTGGAGACACTGCACAGGCAGGAGGGTCTGTGGTGCTGAATCTGGAGAAATGCAGAAGCGCAGTAACTGGGTGCTGGGTCAGGTCTGGGCCGGGGACAGACAGGCTCCTGGCAGGAGTCTCCAGCGGAGTCAGCTCAGAGCAATGCACTGTTGACTTTTCTATTTGACACTTTGCCAGTGTTCATTTTTGTAAGTTGGTGGATCAAAGTGGCATCTATGCCTTTATTACCGTTTTCATTCATTGGTTAGCATGGACGTGGTGCATCTAAGAAATCCCAAAAGTGATATCTGTGGCATTTATTTCTGTAATCTGAAAATTACAGAATTCTTGATTTCTAGAAATTATATATATGTATGTGTATATATATATATATATATCCCACCCACCAACTGGCCCCCTGTCGCTGTGTAATCCCATCAGCGGCCAAGACTCAGAGACTATAAAAACCAGCTTACGGAACTGCACGGCCGCACATGCGGCCACGTGACATCTTATTATGACGGCTTATTATCTCATTCCTACTTTGGACAAACTGGCAGGCTACCAAATGTAGCCTGCCCACATGGCAGAGTCTGGCAAACTCCCCGTGACTTACCCAATATGCCAAATACCAGTAACAATGATGGGTCTCATTCTCCTAAAGAGCCTTAAATATAATCTCAGGGCTAGGATGAAGGAGACGTTACTGGGGCCTGCTTGAGGCAATCGACGAATAACAGGATGATTTGTGATTTGTGTGATTTGTGATATCTCGGAGAGCCTGGCAAGCTACCAAGAGTATCTCGCCCGTACGGCAGAGCCTGGCAAGCTACCTGTGATGTATTCAATATGCCAAACACAATGGAGACGTTACTGGGCCCACTCGAGCAAATTGATGAACATGGGAGGACAGTGCTACAGTGCTATATATATACATGTATGCATATATACATATATATGGATATATACATATATACATACATATGCACACATATATACATACAGGCGTTCACCTTACAAACGGCCAACATGGCCGACCCGAGTTCGATTCCTCCGCCCCTCTCGGAGAGCCCGGCAAGCTACCGAGAGTATTCGATATGCCAAACACAGTAACAGCAAAGTCTCCAATGGAGACGTTACTGGGCCCACTCGAGCAAATCGATGAACAACGGGAGGGCCTTTACCTTTACCTTTACATACACACACACACACACACACACACACACACATATATCACTGTCCTCCCATTGTTCATCGATTTGCTCGAGTGGGCCCAGTAACATCTCCATTGGAGACTTTGTTGTTACTGTATCTGGCATATCGAATACGTCACGGGGAGCTTGCCAGGCTCTGCCGTGCGGGCGAGATACTCTCGGTAGCTTGCCGGGCTCTCTGAGAGGGGCGGAGGAATTGAACTCGGGTCGGCCATATTGGCTGCGTGCAAGGCAAACGCCCTACCCGCTGTGCTATCGCTCCAGCCCATATATATATATATATATATATATATATATATATATAGTTTTCTTACTCCTGGCTCAGTGCTCACGGATCACTCCTGGCAGGCGTGGGGGACCATATGGAGTGCTGGGAATCAAACTTGGGTTGGCTGTGTTCAAGACATGTGCACTACCCATTATATTATGGCCCCACTCCTCTAAATATATACCTTTTTTTTGTAGGGATGGGTGAGGTTTGAGCTTTGCCTGTCACACTGGGACTTACTCCTGGCTCTGAACTCTGGAGACTCAGGACCCTATGTGATACTGAGGATTGGAACTGAGTTTGCCACATACAAAGCAAGTGCTTTACCTGCTGTACTATCTGTCGGGCCCTGTAAATATGTCATTAATTTGTTAGGATTAAGTTTCATCAATTTTTTGAAATGTAGGAGTACTGCTATTTATTCAGCCACTGATTAGCTGATTAAATTGGGCATGGACTCCATAATTTTCATCAATTTTGATGAGTTTTGGCATACAGAAAATGTCAGTCTTTCCTACCAGATGTTATGCTCTCGACCATTGCTTATCTAATTTTTTTGTGTCATGTTTTCATACAGAAGTTTTAAAGGTTAGGCTTGTTCAATCTACCCAGCGTTCCATTTAGCTTTTGATTTTGCTCCTTATTTAAGATTGTCTTTCCAGGGGGCTGAAAAGATACTATGATGGGTGCCATACTATCCCATACTATGGTGGGTGCCATACTATAGGTGTGCTCGTCTTGCAGGTGCCCAACTCAGGTTCTATCCCTGACACCTCCTATGATTCCCTGAACACCTCCAGGAGCAATCCTCAAGTACAGAGTCAGTAGTAAGCCCAGAGCACTGCCAGGTGTGACCCAAAAATAAGAGCCACCCCCCAAAAAAAAGTGGGATTGCCATTCTAAAACTGGCTAAGTACCAGTAAAGTGGACCTGTAACTCACACCGTGCACAAAATTAACTCAGAGTAGGATCAAACTGAAAAATTCTGCACAATGGGAGAAATTATTACTAAAATAAAATGATACTGTATTGAATGGGAGAAAATATTTGCGTGTCATACATCTGATAAAGCACTAATATTCAAGATATAGAAAGAATGTACAGAACTCAGCTACAGTAAATAGCTTTATCAAATAGAAGGGAAATACGGAGGAGCTGCCTCTCGGAAGGAAAGATCCCCAGAGGGCCATAGGCACACGTGAAAACACTCTCTATCACTGCTACTGGAGACATGCAGATGCAAACGATAATCAGGTCACTTCACACCAGAGAGAATGACATCTATTGAAAAATGCCAGAAAACAAGTGTTCATGGGGACGTGGGGAAAAAGAACAGTGCCTGCTTTTGCTGGAAATGTAAAGCCGGTTCAGCCTCTATGTAAAACAGTGTGGAGACTTCTCAAAAAATAAAGAATAAAACTCCTGTATGATCCAGCATCTGTCTCAAGAACACAGAATCACTGATGCAAAGAGCTAAATGCAAGTTATGTTGCACGACTTAATAACAGATAGTATCTGTCTGTTTTCACTCGGGGCGCCCAAGAGTGGGGTGGGTGAGAGCCCTCCCCGTCCCAAGGGACCCAGCTCCAGCAGCTGACCTCCACTACCCAACCACCGCCACGCTCCTTTTCGGACTGCATCTCATAAGATACTTCCTACCCATTTTTCATAATTACCACACCATATTTGATGGGGTTCAGACAGTAGGCAATAAATCATAGAGAGAAATATATAAATATATGCCGCTTGGAGAGCCCAGCAAGCTGCCGAGAGTC